GGCGTCGGGCGGGGAGCACAGAGTCGAGGCGCGGGGGACGGGGGGGGGGGGGGGGAGTGCCCACCCTCGGGGAACTTGCCCGAGAGCGCGCGCGAGCGCACCCCCTCGTAGGGGAGCCAGTCCCCCATGATTGGGGAGTAGGAAACCTCCCGGAGCACGTCGCGGAAGCTGCCAAAGGGGTGCCGCACGAAAATGTCGTAGTAGGCCAGCCAGCGCTCCGGGTCATCGTCATTGTCCGCGCCGACCACGAGGACCTGGGAAAGCGCCCAGGCGGCGCGCTGCCGGAACTGGTCGTGCGCGTACACGGCGACATTGTTGGGCCCCATCGCGCGCGAGTTCTCCCGGTCCCTGATGGGGCGGTGGAGGAAAAGGGTGTCCTCCCCACGTAGCTGCATGCGCACGCCTGGCACAAAACGGGCCAAGGGGGGTTGGGGGGGGGCTGGGCTGCAACGCCCAGGCTTATTGGCCAAGCTGGTGCGGGTGTTTTCCCCGCGAAACTGGCGAAACCCGCCGAAACTGTTCGGCAGGCGCGGGTCGTTGGCCGTCTCACCCGGGGAGCCGCACGCCTCGAAGCCTTCGGCGCGCCGCGTGCCGACCGCGCCCGCAGGTGCCACTCCTGCCGTCTGCAGAGGCAGAGGCAACGCGCTAAAGGCGAGCGTCTCGTCGAGCAGGCCGACGAACTGAAAGTAGCGCTTGTAGTCGCTCCAGCAGCGCATGTCGGTGCGGGAGTAGGTGCAGATGTTGTCGGGAAAGGTCATGTAGGCTTTGCCCTCGCGCGCCGGCGCGGCGACCGGGTTGTAGCGCTGCTCCGCTCGCGCGATGCCCTCGTGGGCGGAGACCCAATACGAAAAGTCGTAGACGTTTCCTGTCTCCGGGTGGACGTGCCGCCAGCAGCCGCCCCGCTCCTTGTCGGAGATCGAGGCGCCGCGCAAGGCGCCGCCGCACGGGCCTGTGATGCTGATGTCTCGGATGCTCGAGCTCGCCGCGCCGTCGCTGCTGTTGATCGCGGTCAGCACCGACGAGGCGTGCTCTTGGGGGATGCACGGGTCGTAGCAGTAGTCCCAGTTCCTGCCCCCTCCGGGGCCGAAGCAGCCGGGAATCGTCTCGCCATTCGAGCGCTGGAAGCACCTCAGCCCGGCGGCGCACTGGGCGTCGGAGTCGCACTCGCCGGTGCACGCCGCGAGGTCGGTGGCGCTGCCGTCGTTGCCGCCGGACAGCTCGACGAGGCCGCTCAGGTCGTAGTTTGGCGCGAGCGAGGTGAGGTTCGCCACGACTGCGCCGGCGGGTGGGAAGTGGACAAAGGCGACGGGCGGGTTGGTCACGGTGAAGCGCGGGCAATTGTTGTTGCACGGCCCTTGCGGGCAGGCCGCCTCGCCGAGGACGACGCGGCTGCCGACCCGCGGCCGAGGCGATGGCGCCTGCCACCACGTGACTGTCACGGTGCAGACGAAGTACGGCACAGAGTCGTCGAGGGCTGCCCAGCCGGCGTGGGCGGCGGTGCCGTTGATCACCTCCGTCAGGATGCCGTCGGCGTAGCCGTCGCCGGACCGACCTTCGAGGCGGAGCGAGAGGCTCCCATCGCCGCCCACCGGCGCGATCCGCACCTCGCGAGGAGAAGGGGGAGGCGGATGGGTGAGAAGTGGGTGGTGGGTGGGGGGGGGGGGGGGGGGAAGCCCCCGGCCCCCGGCCCCCGGCGGCGGCATTTGGGGGGGGGGGGGGGGGAACTTTAAACTTTGGGCCCTCTTTAAATTTTTGGAAGGGGGGCCTTTTCCCAGGGGGGCCCCCCCCCCCCGGGGAGGGCACTTTTCCCCGGGGGGTTCCGGTCAAAAAAAAGTGGTTTTAGGGGGGGGGGTCCCCCGGGCAAATAAATTTTCGGGGGAATTTTTTTTTGTCCCCGAACCCCCCCCCGGGGGGGAATTTTGGGGGATTCCC